GATCTTGAAAAGCCTGCGATCATAACGCTCTCAGAGGTTTGATTAGCCTTGATGGTATTGTGTCACCATGGCAGAGCAGCTTGCTGAGCGCTCGCACACGTCGAAATGCACGAGTGCATTTGCCTTGACAGAGGAACTTCGGGCTATCGCCCGAGACTTGTGCCTGGTCGAAGCATATCTCGGATTAGATCCGTTGCACGGTATTGATATTGCAATCAGGGTTTGGCCGGGCATACAGTGATTTGGTGTCTTTAATTAACCTTCATTGTGCCGTGAGGCGAGATGCGAGCAATTTGCCGAACGAAGAAAAGCAGGCCGCATTGCACAAATCGGCCAAACAGTTGGACGACGCTGCCGATGCGGTCGGCAATATGGTGAAGCAATTGGAGCTTCGGTCAGGACGGGTGTTATGAAACGGAACAGTGCGCAGGTTGGTGCATGACTGGAAAGTTTTAACACTTTTGCAAGGGGCATGGTATCAAGCCATCATCCGAAGCAGGTGGTTCTTTGCCGACGCATTTCGTCGGCGTACGGATGCCTGTTCACGTGCGGCGCCGACTGGGCCACTTGCAGTCGGAAATGCTCAAGCGAGATGCACGCGGGGCTCTTAGCTCACGATTTCGGCCGTCACAATCTCCGCCTCCTTGGGTCATGGTTTTCCTTGTTAGACTGCATGTTCGTTTCGGTAGGAACACGTTCAGAAGGCTGTAATTTTCATTCGAACGAAAATGATCCCAGAACTCGTGTGTGCATGCATCATAGTATCAACTTGGCAGATGGTTGTCTCCAGGCTTGCAGAAAGCCGCCGTTTCCATGGAGATTCACAGCGGCACTGGATTCGGATCTCGTCGTCCAGTCACCTTGCCAAGTGAGGGTCGCAGGTGGTGTAGACGCGTGAATCATTATCCCAATTCTTCCATTTCCTCCAACATTAAGGAAATCGCACGTTACGCTGTTGGTGGCAAGGCTGGCGTTTGACGATATCAGCAAAGCGGCCGAGGCCATCTCGGCAAGTGGGAAACCACAAACAGACCATTCACGTCCAGAACGCACGTCCTGGAAGTCACAGGGGTGGTTTGTTCGGCTGTCAAAGGCGATCCCGCACGGAGCCGTCAACGTGTCCACATCGGTTCCACCTCATTTGCGATCGATTTTTGGGGCGCCTAGCTGGTACTGCGCTGAGTGTTGTATAGTACTGCCACTGAAGCTGTAAACACTGTAACCTATTGCTTTGCCTTCTCGCAAATGCCAAGCCGTTTTGTCAAACCGAAAGCACCCTTCAGTCCTATATTCATTTTACCGGATGTTGTGGCACTTGACCTGTCACCTGCATTAGCATACCGACTGAAACCGATCCCTTGGGTTGGAAGTTGATTTGGTAATGTTTGCGCAACCCACATCTTGAACCAGATCATGGGCAGATCATCCCGACCCATGAGACAGATCGCCCTCCGCAGCTTACAAAGCTTAGCAGTCACAAACAAATCACGTTGCCCACCCAGGCGCTGCAGCACGGGGCGGAGGCTTGGCGAAGCGAAAGACATGGCGCCGTGCTGCTCGGCATTGTTGGCTACGACGCTGATTCGCACACAACCGCTCGTCATCTCGAAGCACGTAGTTTTGTTGTGTGCAACCCGCAACTTGCGAACTACCAGATCGGGGGTCATGCTGTGGGGTTACGGTTTTGCATGGAGAAACAGACATGACTCGTACAAACGTGGATATATGTATGCATGCATGTATGCATGTAAGTATGCATGCGTGTGTAAATCACGCGTATATAAAATTATATAAATAGATACTTACTTGTAGGTAAACAAAGCACGCGTGTGAATTTCTGCCATCTATGTACCCGAATAGTGCCCAACTGTCCGTCCGCTTTGCTTGCGCTGCTGCCAAAGACGCAGACAGCATCCCAGGCAGGTTCGAGCCGAAGGGCTGGGTCATTTTCCGCAGAACGGCGTACTGTACACTCGCTTGCTGCCACGGGATGTATTCGATTCGCTGCGGAAGCATTTGATGCAAGCGTTTGCTGAACGCGGCTTGACGCTGGTGGACGAGGCGGGGATGTTCGCACGCCTGTAGCTCGTAAGTTTTGTGCTTTCGTGCCCGTCGCTGCCTAGATGCCGGACGAAGCAGTTGCGAACGCGGATGCATCGGCAAAGTCAGGCTGGTGGGTTCACAACGCATGTTGACCGACATGTTGGCCCAAATCCCACATTCAATCGAATCGAGGTGATGCACCACCAGCTGCAGCTGAAGTGGCAGTGGCCTCGCCGAAAGAGGGGCAGGAGAAGGAGAAGGAAGCCAGGCCAGTCCAGCATAACATGAGGGCTTTAACGATCAAAATAGGGTTTTGGGTATGTTGTCTTATAATTATTAGAAGGAACAATAATGAAGGCACCTACATTAAACATCAAATTGATTTGCTTGTGGGTGCTCGCATTTCACTTGGGGAGGGCTTCACGTCGAACTTTTAAGGGCGAACTCGAACCGTTGCTTTTTCAGAGCCACCAAGCCGACCAAGCCGATGCCAGGTGCATTGACCATGTTCTTGTGCTTTTCTCCTGCGTACCCAGTCTGTCGTCAGACCCCCTTGCTGCCCTAGCAAGTCAGTCACGGCGATTTCGTCGCAGATCTCCGGTTGAACCGAGGCAGCCATAAGCTTATAGGCCACAAAGACACCATGGAGTTCCAAATCTCCCCGCACCCGGAAGCCTGGAAGCCCGTCGGCCCCAACCTTTCATCTTGGTCGCCAAGCCCGTAAATCCGAAATCCGGAACTTTTCGCATGCGTGATTGGCACGTTGCAGGGAAGAAGACTCCGCGGAGTCTGAGCATGAGGCCCCAGCTCCGAAAAAGAAGAAGTCAGGCCCCCCGGGCACTAGAAACAGGGAGGTCTACGTAACAATGATAAGCCACTGTACTCAGTCATTCCATTTGCTATCCAACTCCTGGTCTAATTACTAAGAGCCCACTCGATTAGATGTGTGCTTCAGCCAGCTATGTGCTTTTGTGCTTACGGTTACCAGGTAGGTATCGCCAGACGTTGATGCGTAACTGGGATGCTTTTCCATTTCGACATTCCTGTATGTGCTGTTATTTTTGCTTTTTGTGTTTGTTGTGCAGTATCATACACTTCATCATGTCGCGCCTTGGGGTCTTCCGTGCTCGTTCGGAGACGGCTGTCTGATTTTCAAGCCCGACCTTCTCGATGTATCTACATGCGGATCAGTGCAACAAGACCTGAAAAGGCTGCACGATGTTCACTCGCATGGTTCTGTTGCATTTTGATGGGCTAGCGGCTAGCCCGGAGGCCGCAAGAAGAAGCTTCCTGGCGAGCCCCAGATGCATGCATCCCGAAGTCTACCATATAAATGGTCAGCCCCGTGTTCGGCACGGCGAAGGAGTCATCCAACCCCTACATGGAGCCCAGGGTAAGTGGAACCAGTTCTTACTGCCATTTGTACAATTGTGACTACTAAGACTGTTGTGACTACTACTAGTAAGACTGTCCTAGGTGGTTATTCTTAAACCATTCATGACTGGATTGTTGGTAACAGTCGTATAAGCAGTTCCTGAGTACCCTGAATCTGCCCAGCGAGCTCAGGAGTATTTGCCCCACGTGACCCTCTTCAAGTCATCGCAGGCAGGGCGAGGAAAGAGTGGGCAGCAGGCCGGCTCCGAGGGCTTTTTGCACACGTACCTTTTAAAGGGTGCGATGAGGCTTCAGGAGTTTGGGGCCTGCGGACTACTTGAAAAAAGCCTGAAGCCGTTGTCATAATCACTATATTTCAGAGAGACCATAGCTTCCAACACGTACCCCTAAAGCCATATACATCCCTGCAGACCATACGACACCCTCGACCCTAGAAAGCGATAACCCTAAGTTGAGCCACAAGGCCGCCAAGGCTGCAAAGCAAAGCATCGCCCGGGTGGCGAAGAGTCTGCTCGGAGAGGGCACTGAGAAGATCGCCTTCGGATCCTTCTCTCTGGAGGAGCGGAGTTCAACGCTGTCCAAACTTCCGAAACTTTACAGCTTCCCTTGCACAGGCCATATCGGGAAGAACTATTTTGGGTTGCACAGACAGGGTCATGTACCCCCAAAACCTTAAACACCCGTGAACCCTATTCTACTTCTTCAGGCCCGGACGGATAGAGGGCTTGAGGGGTAGGTTTGCTTTGCAGCACCCTGCCGAACGACGTTGCTCCTGAGGATTGTGAACTCCTGGCAATGCATCATGTCCAAGGCGATGGCTACTTTGAGGCACAAGCTTCGGCGAAGTTGCGGGAGAGTTCGGGGGAGGATGCCGCGAGTCCAGGGGAGGAGGACGAGGAGGAGTTCCACAAAGAGGCGAGGCAAATCCTGGAGCGGATTCCTGCGGCAGAATCGGACCAGAAGTCTCCGAAGAAGCGGAAAGCCAAGAAGAAGCAGACGAAGAAGACAAACCAGAAGGACTTGGACTCAGAAGAGGAGCAGGCAGACGCAGAGTCGGAAGACAGCGAAGGAGACACGTCCGCGGAAGAGGCATGCGGGTATCTTGCAAGGAAATCGCCCGGCAACACTGAACTCCTAAGTAAGCCGGGCGTCCTGGCATGAGTTGTGGCACGGGCTGAACTAGCAAGGAATTCTCAACCCAAGAGTTGTAGAAACCTCAAGTAGGGACGGATGGAGAGAGCGAGAGGAGGAGACAGTCAGGCACCTGCCAAGAAGTCCTCGGCAGCCAAGCGCGGGAAGTTACGCAAAGCAGCGGCAGCGGCAAAAGCAGTCTGCTCAGTCCGAGTTCTTTTGAAGACCAGGTGAACCTTACCAGAGTTCACGTTTAGGAGACATGCGGTCGTGTGCTTTTAGGGGCCGGGGTCTGTTGGTTCTCAAGATGCGCACAGTTCAGGATCCAAGCACAAAGGTCAAAAAAATATACAACAGTGTGCATCAAGGCCAGCTTTGTGCTGCTCATGGACAACAGCCTAACAAGTCGCATAAGTCTTCAAATTTCCACATTTCAAGATATGGTTGACTTTCCGGCCCAGCCCCAGCTCTCCATGAAAGGCTTCTCTATCATGTACCAAGCGCCCTCATTGCTTGCAACATTCTATACCGAAAACACAAGAACCCTACTCGTAACACGAGAGTACAAATGCACAGTGCTTGAGCAGTGCTTGAGCCTTATTTCTAGCAGCCTCAACGCTTCGCCTTTGCTCTTGCAAGTCCGTGCCTGAAGCCGCTTCGGCAGAGTCGCCCAGGTCAGCAGCAAGAAGAAAGCAGCGAACTTCGGCATCAATGTGTTGAGTGTCTTAATCTTCTTGACAGTCCTGTGGGTGACTTGTAGTTCCTCTAGGAAGCTGGACGGCTTAGTCGGGGTTGCATAGTGGTTTGGACTTCTGGCCTCTTTGGAGCTCCGACAAGAGTTGGGTTCGTCGGAATTGTGAAAGGTTTAGAGCTGCGAGGCCCTTCGTGCCAATCCTTCGCCCAAGCCAAACGTCATGACGCAACAGGACCAGTGATTCCAGGCCCAAGCATATGCCATAGTGTAGCCACGGTATAGTCTACCAGAGTTTTATCCATGAATACATGTTTGTACATATTCCATCGCACAACCGAATATTGGATAGCATAGCATTGTCAGCATTGTCCAACATAGTAATGGGTACTACAACGTAATGTAATGTACTGTCATATTGCATTGTATTCTTCGCCACAATGAAAAGCGACGTCGTTAACTACAAAAGATCATTTTGATGCCCAAACCCGACTGCAGGAAGAAGAAAGCTGCCCCAGCACGACCTCCAAGCGAGGACGAGGAGGAGGAGGAGGAGCCTGGAGCCCGGGGCGCAGGGCTTTGGAATTTGGGGCTTTGGTTTCGGTTTTCTGGAAGTGGGCCAGGCAGATGTCCAAGAGTTTCGGATGGTGAAGCATGCTACCTTTGTCTCAGCGGGCAGCTGCCCGGCAGTGAAGCCTTGAACAGCTGCACTCCAGGAAGAGGACGATGCCGCAGACGGTCTTGGAGGGCAGAGCCAGGAAGATCAGCGCATTGATCCGGAAGACGGTTTGGCATACACCTGGTCAGAGTTCAGTGAATATTACACAGGAAAGTATAAGAAGAAGGTGATCGAAGCTTACTGGAACGATTGTCACCTGGTGCCGAAGAAAGAGGTACCACAACCGAAAGCAGCTCGGAAGAAAGCAAGACGGCGCTGGTTCTCCAGAAGATGACACGGTCACTGAGAGTTTACAAGGCAGAGCTTGTTCTCGGGATAGTGCCGCTGCTATTCTACATCTCTACATCCTGCACTTGGGCATCAGGCTACGACATCAGGCCCGGCTGAAGTATTGACGAACGCATGCGTCGAACAACACTCGCGCAAGGTCAAAGCACCCTGGCATGCCTTTAGCTTGGTTTGGCTCAACGTCCAGACATGCCGCGATCAAGAATTCTGCGCAAAGGGACGTTCGTGTTATTCGCTCTTATACAGATGCACGGCACCAGTAGTGCAAGCAGACGTAAGCATGAGTGCATCAACCCCTGATCATGCGTTTGGGTTGCCAGTCGTTCAGGAGCCCACAGCTGCTCTGCAGGGTGATCGCTTCACTTCCATGGTGACACAATCATCATCATCACCATCTTTATTTCCATCTTCACCGAATGGCGATGACGGCTTCATCTTGAATGTCGCCAGTAGCAGTCGCATCGCGATTGCTTGGGAAGCACTACGAGCAGGGGAGTGCCAAAACCCAAACCCCATCTTTGAAACTACTAGTACCGGAGTCATAGACCCACATGAAGCTCAACAGCATGTATGTTCGACCAGATTGCTTTGATAGGCGTCTGCACTTGGCAACCCACAACCCTGTCGCAAGTCACAAAGAGGGAGGATTGAGTCCTGCAGCAGACTGCAGCTGTCTGTGAATTGTCCATGCAGTGCCTACTGGGCCTACTCATGGAGCATTGACGCACTGATGTTTCTGCACATCGCGCAGCTGCGGTTACAGTGTAGTTATCCTGTCTTCACGTCGTAGGAGGGACCCTGAAGAAGTTGCATTTCACCATGAGACCACAACGTGCTGTGACTTGAACGAACATCCATTGTTGCTTGCGGGTTGCTTCTTCATTGTGTTGTTGTTGTTGTTGTTGTT